TTGAACAGCAGAGTAAGCACGTAGCTTGCTTGCTTAGCGTCGGTTCATCATAATCAAAAAATCATCACTCGTAAAGGAAAAGAAAAAAACCCGAGAGAGAGAGAGAGAGAAAGAAATGTGGGCGGCGGATTGTATTGTATGTGCTCGAGCCAAATACATAGACATCAAGCATACAATAAACGAGAGAGAGAGAGCGAAAGACAACGAAGAAAATAGTTATGTATACTGTTCTTGTGCGTTTTCATTGTCTTTTAATCTGTACATAAAAAGTCTATGTGCAATATGTCTATTCAATTTTCGTCCATTTATAAGTCATTAGAGAGAATCAAAATTAGTCAGCTAAAATGAGAATTTGATATTCTTGACAAATTTATATTCAGAATTTTTTTCTGATTTACGACTGATTTGCTATGAGTAAATATCTCAATAAATCAAAAATATTGTTTTTGTTTTTATCTTTACAATAAGCTAGAACTTATAAAAATCAAAATTTATGAATATTTTTTTAAACAACTACTTTTTACATGAGAAAATATTTTTCACAAACACTTTGTTCTATTAACTGAAACATAAAAAGATTTCTTTCCTATATTTTAAGTTATTCGGAATATTAATTTTATTAAATTCATAATCGACAAACAATGAGTAGACATGTTATTCAAAGACTTTTTAATCTAGCCGATTATGAATCACATTTTAATAAAAATATAAGCGCACATACCTATTGCTACCCATTATATTTTCTATTGTCTTTTTATATTTATCTACGCTTCCTTTTTTCCTTTTGAAAACTTAATACATTAAGTCTATATACATACAATGTTTTTATTAGAACTAATAATAATAATCACTATGTTTATACAGAAAAGAAGAGAACAAAAATACTCTGATTACATCATTTTTTCTTTTGTTGTATTGTTGCTACTATTAATGATGATGATGATGATGGTGTTACAGTTGTCGTTACATTTGTTGTTGGTGGTATTAACGCATTGTTCATCATATCATCTAAGATTTTATCTGAATCAGGTAAACATGTTCCACCAAGACATTGTTCAGTAAAAGTAACAAATGTTAAATATCCATCTTCTGATGATGCAATAAAAAGACGACCATCATGTGACCAACAACCATCAGTAAGTGACAATAAATGAATACGACGTGCATATGCAAATGGTTCTAATGACAATTGATCATAAAAGAATAATGATGTCTTAGTAATTAATGCAAAAAGCATTCGATATGGTGCAACAGATGATGTCGATGGAAATAGAGAAGGACATACTGATATAGCTATAACTTCTTGATCATTCATAATTGGTATAATTGATAAAGGTCGATCAAATTTAGGACCAGATGTTGCAAATACATAAGCACAATTAACATCGATTAATTTAGCTGGTACTAAAATAGAACAAAGATAATAGAAATTAAAAAACAAAAACAAAAGATTCAAAAATATTTTAATTAAATCAATATTATACATGGTGTCGATCCAAATTTTTCTTCATTAACACCACCATCTTGTATAATTTGTATATCAGGATCATCAAAATCATTTTGTTGATTATTAATTTCATCTTTTTCTTCAATATTTTCTTCATTATTATATGCATCTAAAAATGCTTTATCTAAACAACCAGCTGATACAATTAATTGACTACCATCAGGTAAATAAGCACAACGTCGAAAAAATGTTAACGATGTTTCATCAATAAACATTAATGCACCATTTTCTTGTTTGATATTTGCTGGTTTTATTTTACGTATATTATATACACATCGTGATATTGAACCAGTTTCACCTTTCATTGCATAGATACGTAATGAACGATCAGTACTCATTACTGCTATATATTTACGCCATGGATGTATAGCAACACCTTGTACAAAACCTTTTGGATCAACAATTATTGAGATTTTCTCACGTTTAGCAACATTCCACTAAAATACAAAGAAAAAAAAAGTTAAATATTTAACTCTTTTGCTCTCTTTGGTTAATGGAGTACTCGTAGGTAGAAAATGAAGGAAATATGGAATTGAAAACTGGAATAGTCATACAATGTCTACTATGGGTATCAATACTAGTAGAAAGTTTTTGCAAAAGCTAGGTAGAAAAAAAAGGTGTGAAAACACAGAACAGTCACTACGAATTTTTTCAGAAAACCGAACTTAGTTTTTCAGCGCCGACAACTTACGCATAAAATCTGCTTACATCACACGAAATGGTAGAACAAATCATTCTCTACAAAATATAACGTCTCTGAGGTCTCTACGACGTTTTTCTGTCGAACTATATCAAATTTACGGAAGGATTCATACACCATTTTTGTCAAATCGTTCTTCCTCCAATGATCATTGGAGTGACTATATGAGAGTGCGTCTAATTGAGTTGTCCATATTATTAATATATTGGAGACACTAGAGTCTTGAGGGACAATTCTGAATCACGAAAAATCACGTTTGTCTCATCCCGCAAGGCATTCGGGACAACCCCCACAGTATTCTAGAAGACACCAATATTCTATTGCAATGATTGTTTCATCAGTGACTCTTCTGGAATCACTCTCAGAACTGAATACAGGACAGGACAAAAAACCGTTGTCCTATACCCACTTCTGTTTTGTATATTTTCTTCTTCGTATAATTTTTATTATCAAGCACTCTTCCATTGTTCAATTTTTTTTTTAATAATAGCATCTAGTATATGTTCAGACAATGGCGATAAAACACCATAAGTTCATATTTTGTTTTTAATATTTGTTTTCTGTGATGACGAGCATATTATTAAAATAATAAATCAAGATGTTGCTATATTTTCTTCTATTTATAACATTAGCCATTATAGAAAACTTTAAATGTTGTATTTAAAAATAATACGCAACAAATTAGCTATAAGAGAAGGACAGAAAAAGTCATCCTGTATTCAGCTCTGATCGCTATGAGGATTAAAAGGTTAGGATGTATCCTCAAACACCAATCTTGAGTCAAATATAATCAAATTGCATAAAATTTTCAGCTCTATATCATAATGTTTTCGGCAAATATTCAACAAATATGGGTTAAAAATCGGTCATTTGATAACTTGAAATTCTCTATGGGCCATCATTCTATATATTTAATTATTTTATTGGTTTAAAAGAAAAACCGGCTCTGCAACTTTAAATGCTATTCCAAACAAAAAATCAATTGGCTATAATGTAGTTCCTGCGAGAATTCTCGGATGCACAATCAGACAAGCATACTTTTCAAGTAGAAGGCAGCGAAAAAGTTTTTGACAAAAATACGACATATCAAATAAAAAAAACCATTTCTTTTATGAAAGATCAGATTTCGGGCTATCTTTCTTGATTTCGATTTTTCTGAAAAAATAAGGCTTCAATTGTTTATCAAAATATATAACTTACAACAATAGCTTTTTTATCAACTGAACCACTAACAAGTAATTGATCATCTCTTGACCATGCTAAATCTAAAACAGGTTCTAAATGACTTTTATATGGTAAACTTTTAAGCCAACGTTCTTTTGATTCTGGTAGATCTTTATCCCAACCAAGTATATTATCATTATCATTATTATTTGCTGTTGTTGTTGTTGTAATTGTTGTTGATGATGCTGTCAATGGTTGATTTGTTTTTGATAAAACAATTACATTTGAATCAGTAGTTGTTACTGTTGGTGCTTTTGTCCAAATAAAAATATTACCATCATCACTACCACTTGCTAAATGTGTTCCTTTTGAATTCCATCGTATACAATTTACTGATTCTAAATGTGCACTAGAAAGTGAAGATACAAATGATATTGTTGGTTGTTGTATTGATGGCCATTCAATATCCCAAAGATAAATTGAACCTTAAAGAAAATAATGAATAATAAGTTTTTCTTTTTTTTTTTATTGATTTTAAAAATTGATGATTACCTCGCATGCCAGCTGTAGCTAAACGTTTGGAATCTATTGGATTGATTGCACATGAATAAACAGGATCGCATCCATGCCATGATATATTTGGTGTACAAACGTTCATGTTAAGATCTTAAATGTGAATCAAACTTAATTTATTGATAGTGAAATAAAAGACAAACAAGAATCATTGGCGGGTTAGAACAAAAGCAATGGAATAAAATCAAAATGATGTTATTTTATAGAAAATAATTATATTATTTAAAATAGATTTTTCTATTTATTGATAAGATTTCTTTTATAATATATTTTAGAAAAAATTTCTGATTATGTTGAATTTCTAACCAATAAGAATTATTTTATGAATCATCATTCTATTACTGTTCATCAATTGTATATCATGCAATATTTTCGTCGATTATCATTAATTCGATCATCATTTCGTTTACTATCATCATCAATTGTTGATGTAACTCCATCAACAATTGAAAAAGAATTATATGAAATAAATAAATTAATGAAAACTTATAATAATACACATGTACCTATACGTACAATAGCTTTATTTGAATGGATGTTAAATATAATAAATATAAAACCAGATTTTAATTGTTATTTAAATATAATTCGTGCATGTGGTGAATTAAATAATTTAAATATATGTCAAAATATTCATAAATATATTCAAAATGATCAAACATTAAAAATTCAAGAATATCATCAACTTCAAATAAAACTTATTTATATGTATTCAAAAATAAAAAATATTCAATCAGCTGAACAAATATTTCAACAAGTTAAAACAATAAAAAATTTACCAATTGATATTAGTCTTTTTGGTACCATGTTCAAAGGTGAGGAGAAGGTGAGTTTAAGATAAAATATATATTACAATATTAATGTTTTATTAAACTTTTGTTTTTTCAGGTTACAATATGAATGGACAACCAAATAAAACGATTGAATTATATGAAAATGAAATATTAAATAACAAAATAATTGAACTTGATGCTATATCAGCAACATGTCTACTTAGTGCATGTACTGATTGTCATCGATTAGATATTGGAGAATATGTACATGATGAAATTCTAAGACTTGGACTTCTTGATCCACCAAATATTCGATTAGCAACAGCGGTATGTTTTTTGAATCAAATCAAAAAGAAAATTCGAAATCATTTTATTGTGGAACATGATTTAAAAGAAGTATTGAAGTATAAAAGTAAAAATTTGGATCGTTCCCAAGCCATGACTAGCCGCTAGTCAGAGAGGTTATGTACCTTATCGTCGAATGTATTTCAACCATCTATAGTCGTGAGTTTCGTTTCGGCGATCATTCCTTACGTTCACTCTTTCTGAATATTTATCACATATATATATATATACTATTGATATCATCTCAGAATGCTGCTGATAGCTTCAGTCATCGAAATGCAAATTACCGAATTTCGGTGAAGAGCATTTTGACTGTCAGAGACTATCACAGACGTTATTGATATATGATCAAAGACCGTATATCAATAACGTCTCATTCTGATATATCAACTATTTTCTTATTACATTTCTGGAGGATTAAATAAAAGAATGGTGAAGAAATATATCTGAAAATAGATAGAATAAAACAATCTTCTTGAGATTAGCAACAACAACTAGATCGTGTTTCACATTTTAATTCCGTAGAAACTGTTCCAACAGACTTGTCTTTTATTTAAAGATTATGAATATGTATTGTAATTGTGGTTCAATTGATCGTGCTCGAGAATTATTTAATCAATTACTTCCAATAGTTGATAATGTTGCTTATTCAACATTAATGAAAACCTATTTATCAATAAATCAACCTGTAGAAGTTCTTAATTTATTCAAACAACTTCAATCATCATCTATTTTACCTGATTCATTTATTTATTTAAATATAATTAATGCATGTAATCAATTAGGACTTATGCATCAAGCAGAAAATATTCATCGAATAATTCCATCATATATTATAGAACGAAATCTTTCATTACATAGTGGTTTAATTGATATGCATGCACATTGTTTACATTTAAATGAAGCTTATCGATTATTTAATTTACTTAAACAAAAAACTAATATTTCATTAGCAAATTTATTACATGGTTATGCAATTAATGGACAAGGACAACAAGCATTAAAATTATTTGAAAAAGTCAAATCTGAATTAATATTTAATGAACAAGTTTATAAAATGATTTTATATGCTTGTGCATATACTGGTGGTCTTGTTCATGAAGCACAAGACATATATAAAATAATACCAGATAAATATAAAACGTCACAAGTTGCTGCTGCAATGGTAAATATTTTACTTTAATTATGAAATAGATAGATTACAATATTTAATTCACTTATGAGAATGTAAAAATTAAATGAGAATGAATTCATATAATTTTAAAGGAAAGATGAAAGACAAAATGTTAAGTCTAATATATTTGATTTGAACTACAATGGAGAAAAGAATTTATCAAATCACGTTCTATATAATTCAATTGGAGAGAATGTCTTAACAGTTTATCTCTCACACCCGGTTTCAGAAGAGCCACTGACTAGATAGACTAGGTGTTCTTCTCTTGGCATAGAGTGGTTTCGGTTGCTTCAGCGACCATGTGATAGACAAGCGGGATTGAACGACATGACAAGTTCTGATTTTTTTTCTTTCATGACATTACTGATTGGGGAAAAGCAGCCTATATCCTATGGTAATTATCAAAATATCATCTACTTTTCTTTAAAGTATTGCATGACCACTGAAAAACATTTTATTCATACGAAAGATTATTTCAATTTCTCATTTGATGAGATTTGTAAGAGATTATTTTTGATTGTCTTCTGTCTGTAAGTCGCTGAGTTATCATGAAACTTTCACTATTTTGTATTAATCACTAGTAGGCCTTTGTATCAATTTATATCACACAACAAGCCCTAAATATTTATTTTGCTTGAAAGTAGACAATATTTTATTAAAAAATTTGAAATGGTTATTCTGTTTGGCATCAAACTTAAAGATATTCGGTTGAATATTGAATATGTTGAGAACAATATTTTCTTGTGATCTGTAATTTTCAATAACATAGAGAGGAAAGAAGAGAAAACTGTTGCATATAAAATGTTTTTTTTCATTGAAAATAATCATCGAATTATTAGGTTTTTGATCTTTGAAAATTTGAAAATCATTATAGTAAATTTGTGTAATCATTCAATGAAATATTTCTATCCTAATTCATATATAATAATAAAAGTAGAATTTCATAAAGTTTAAATTTCATCTTCTCCTTTTAAAAATAACTCTTATTATGATTCTAATAAGTTACGAAACTCTATCCAATCTTATATGCAACAATATCTCGTTGTTTTCACTTTCTCAATGAGCGCTAGTGAATTGTAGGTTATCGACTATGCTGGTTTTTCGGACTAACAAACTTGATTATAGAGCATATCGTATTGCCTAGAAAACAGTCATTTTTCGTATGTCAGATCATTTTGTCACTGCAGAAAATATAACGATGTTAGTTCATACAGTAGATACGTATTAACATTGTCATGTGGGAATCTTTCAGATTATATTGTTTTACTTAAGACTTATTTTTGGAAAACAGAAAAGATTATTGTCTAATAGACAACTCAATATTATCTATAATCAGAGTAGATCCAAAACTATTTTGGCAAAATACTACTTGTTCGTCTAGAAAACCAACATATAAAGACTTAAGAGAATTTCTTATGGTTATATTCAGAATCAGCATGGTCAATAATCCTCAATTCAGAAGCTTTTGGTGAGAAAACAAGCGGTTATTTGAATGATTGCATCGTTTTCGACATATACAATTTTTAACCGCGTACTTTCAAGCTTAGACTATATTCAATGGATGGGGCCTAGTGAGTGGGTAAATACCCTAAAGTGATTCAAGCTGCTGGATCTTTGTTCCTCAGATTTCGAATAGTTAGTGGACTTTTCTTGGAGGACCTTAGTTCTCAAATGAAATCATATTTTCGAATTTTGACCTGAAAGTTTGCCTTCGTAAGGGCACTGATTCCACTAATTTGTAGAAAAAATTTCAGAATTTTTCAATCAACCATCTCCAAGATATGAATCTTTCCAAAAAATCCATATTTTTTGAGAGACTTCATAAAATATTTTGAATTTTTTTTTCTACGAGTTGGTCTAATCGGTGTCTTTACGTAAGCTAAGTTTTATATCAAAATTCAAAAGTATAATTTCACTTGAAAACTAAGATCCTACTGGAAAAATTCACTAATGAGTAAAACAATGTCTAATAGTTCGAATCATTCTATGGTAATTACTTATTCACTAGACTCTATCAATTGGATATAGGTTTAGCTTAAAAGAAATTTATCACTTTGAAACCTTCCTTCGTTAGTTCAAATATGTACGGAAGTGTAAATCTTTTAATCATAGTTTGTTTTTTTCACATATGAAATGTTATTGTTTAAAATTGATAAAATATTTTTTGTTAAATTTAGGTTTCAACACTTGCTCGTGCTTCACTTTTTGATGAAGCCGAATCATTTATTCATCAATATAAACCAAAATCACAAAATATTTCTCTTCTTTGGTCTACTTTTTTTATGGTATGTTATCATTCAAAAAATCTTCAATATGCAAAATTAATCTATGATCATATTACTGATGATCCTTTATTATTATTACTTTTTTCTGATATGACAAATTCATTACCATCAAATGAAATTATTAATTATTTTCAACAACAAACATCAGGAATATGTTGGACAGAAATTGAAAATAATGATAAAACTAATTATATTATATATAAATTTGATGATAATAATCTTTCAAAATTTTCTTCATTATATTCTGAATTAAATATTGTAATTAATGATTTAAAATCAATTGGTATTAATTGGAAAATATATGAAAATGATCTTAAAAAATTATTTTGTGGACATACAGCTATTCGTTTAGCTATAGTAACACATTTAATATTAACTTTACCAACAACAAGTATTCAATTAACAACAACAAAATCAATATGTCATGTGTGTCATGAAGGAATAAAACAATTGAGTTTATTAAAACAACGTGATATTATTTTAAGAGATAATATACGTGTACATCATTTTCATCATGGACAATGTTCATGTCATGATCAATTTTAGATTTGATAGAAAAATAAATATTGTTTTTTTAAGGAGATTTATTTGTTAATCATTTTATTGAAGAAAAAAAAAACACAAGTGTTCGACTGAGATAATTCAAAGAATGAAAATTTATAGAGAACATTGAAATAAAAATGACTGAATTACTATTTGAAAAGAAATCTTTTTTTTTTATAGATGTTTTGATTAAATGCAATCATTTAATTTTACTTCATTGTTTTTAAATAGAACATGGCGTTCATTGCAACGAATCTATGTATCTTACCGTTTTCAACATGTACAAAATCAACCACCGTTAGTTGTCGAACGAGTTCTTCGTTCGATTAAAATGGATACATTTGAAACATCATTAATTCGAAATTTTTGTATTATTGCTCATGTTGATCATGGTAGTGATTTTTCATAGTTTTCTTTTCTTTAATTTCTAAAATAATTTTATTTTTGAGGAAAATCAACACTTGCTGATCGATTATTAGAATTAACAGGTACAATACCAAAATCAAAAGAAAATCGTCAAGTACTTGATAAACTTGATGTTGAAAGAGAACGTGGTATAACTGTAAAAGCAGCAGCTGTTTCAATGTTTTATCCATATAAAAATCAAACATATCTACTTAATTTAATTGATACACCTGGACATGTTGATTTTTCAACTGAAGTTGCACGATCATTATCAGCATGTCAATCAGCTATTCTTCTTGTTGATGCTGCACAAGGAATTCAAGCACAAACTGTTGCTAATTTTTTACTTGCTTGTGATTCATTTATGGAAGTTATTGCTGTTATTAATAAAATTGATTTAAAAGAAGCAAAAATTGATAGAACAATAGCTCAAATTGAATCAGAATTTGGATTATTATCTAAAAATATTATTCAAGTATCAGCTAAACATGGAACTAATTGTGAAACATTATTAGAACAAATTATTGAACAACTTCCACCACCGAATTATTCTCGTACAGGTCTACTTCGATTGTTTATATTTGATTCAGTTTTCTCATCAAATATTAATACAACAATTATTAATGTTGCTGTTACCGATGGTATTGTTCGATCAGGAGATAAAGTTACAAGTAAATTATCTGGAAAAAATTATACGGTACTTGAAACAGGTATATTGAAAATATTTTATTTAATAGACAAAGAAAAAAAAATTTCATCTTTATTTAGGAATATTTATGTATCCTGATCGAGTGAAAACTGATGCATTATATGCTGGTCATGTTGGATATATTATTTGTGATACAAAACATATTCAAGATACAATTGTTGGAGATACATTTTATCATCAAGGTTGGTGAGTGTTTCGTTAGTTAAACAATAAAAGAAATCTCAAATAATAAATATATTCTTAGAAAAATTTTTTTGTTCTTTTCAGGTGTGAATGTTGAACCATTACAAACATTTAAAGTACCTAAAGCAATGGTGGTATGTTTCAAAGAATGAAGCTAATGTGAAGAACGAGGGCAGATAAGGTCGTTTTCCGGCCTTTCATAGATTTGAAGTTTTTGCATTGAACTCAAGTCTGAGATGATCTGTAATCATATTCCGCATGTGAAAATCGTCATAAGTGACATGTCGGTTTTTGGAACTTGGAGTACTCTCCAGGGATTCAAAAAAAAACTTTTTTTGTGCATTTTGATGACAGCATACTGAGATATATCAACTCGAGTATGCTGATCACACAGATGGACATTTAAAATGAATAGAATTGTATTTCCTGTAGAGTGGAGCGAGCTCAATATAATCATTCGTAGGGTTCCTTGGCTGAATTTCGCTAGCTTTGAATTTAAATTTTAAATGAATTGTACTGAAAAAAAAACAGCTTTTCTTTACTCGAAACTATAAGTTCTACGCACACCTAGAAGTGGCTGAAGTCAAATTAAACGACATACTTGCAATTCCGAGCCAATGCTTGGTTGTGCTCACCCTGTTTACTTATGAAGCTAATAATGCTGCTTCAGTGTGAAGATTTGTGACGATAAGTAACTTTTCAAGTTCTTTCCAATAGCATTTTGAAAGAAATCAAAAAATATAGGCATCAGAGTTTTCTAGAGGATTTCTGAATATTTCGGGGAAAATCCCACTGATATTTGTAAAATTGACAGTATTATCATGCTCCACATGACCAGAAACCTCTATACGCAAGTTGTTGAAGAAAAACATGGTCACTGTAAAGCGTCACAAAACTGAATTCATACTATAAAACATGCAATACAAGTAATATAAATCTTTGTTCTCTTAATTCACGAGATCAACTAAAAAAATTGGAAAACTTAGATATTTATGTTTTTGTCCATGAGGATAACGATGACGCTATCGATCTTCCAGAGGTCTAGGGTATTTATTCCGGAATCTCTAGAAGTCTTCTGAAAAATCCTGATGCACATATTGTTCGATTTCTTTCAAAATGTCATTGGGTAGACTCAAAATATTACCTATTGTTACAACTGTTCATGCTGAAGCAGCATGGAATTCACGAGTAAATAACGTGAGAACAATCAAGCATAGACTTGGAGACACATATTTTGGGCGGGAATCACCAGTTTGTCGTTCAATTTGACTTTAGCTGGTTTTGCGTCTGGATAGAGCTCATAATTTTGAGTAAAAAAAAGGTGTTTTTTTTTCAACACGATTAAGTACAAAGCTGGCGAAGTCTAGGTACTATGATCAGCATACTTGAATTGATATATCTAAGTATGTTACGATCGAAATGCAAGAAAAACATTTTTCTCGAATCCTTGAGAGATACTTCAGGTGTTAAAAATCGAGATGCCATTTATCGCAATTTTGATCTGTGAAATATGATCGAGAGTCATCCCTAACTCGATTCCAATACAAAAATCTCGAAACCATGAGAGGTCGAAAAACGATCTTATCCGCACTCGTCCTTTCTTATTTTTGTTTTTTTTTGTTAGTTTGCTGGTTTTTTTCCATTTGATGAAGCACAATACAACAGTTTTGAACAATCCATTGAACGATTAGCATTGAATGATACTGGTGTACGACTAGTCTCAACATCAAATCCAGGTGAAAGAAATCTTTTTCTTTTTACATTTTTCTTGATCAATTGTTTTATTTTGTTTCTCTCTCTCTCTAGCATTTGGTAAAGGCATGCGAATTGGATTTTTAGTAAAAGAATTATATTTATTCTTAACATGCACACACACAAATATCTCTTTATCTTGATAGGGTTTACTTCATATGGAAATATTTAATCAACGTTTAGAATCTGAATTTGCACAACAAGTTATAACAACATTTCCTGGTGTTGCTTATCAATGTCGTATTATTGGAAAAGATAATATTAAAGATTATGGTTCAGAAATTTTAACTATATCAGATCCACTTAAATGGCCTGATACAAATATTATACGTGAAACATTTGAACCTATTGTTGATGGTCAAATTCTTACTCCAACACAATTTTCACCAATAATTAAATTAATTTGTGATGAACGACGTGGAAATTTAATTGAAGAATATTGTATAGATGAAAAACGAACATTATTAAAATATAAATTACCTTTAGCAGAAATAGTTTATGATTTTTTTGATCAACTTAAACAAATCACATCTGGTTATGGTACATTTGATTATGAAGATAGTGGTTATGAAAAATCGAATATAGTTAAAATGCGTTTTTGTATTAATAATGAAGAAATTGATGAATTATCTGTATTATGTCATGCTAAACGTGCACAAACTATTGGAAAAGAAGTTGTTATTAAACTTAAAGAAAATATTGAAAGACAACAATATGCTATTAAAATTGAAGCTAAAGTACATTCAACTGTACTTGCAAGACAAAATATTCCACCATATAAAAAAGATGTTGGTGCAAAATTATATGGTGGTGATAAAACACGTTTAATGAAATTATTAAAACGACAAGAAGAAGGCAAAGAACGAATGAGATCAATTGCTAATATTCAAGTACCACGTGATGCTATTATTTCAGTATTGAAAAGAAAATAGTAGTTTCGTTTATGAAATTAAATAAATAGATAATATAAATACATTTTTTTTTTTCGAAATTTTATGATTAATTTAATTAGAACAAATATATAAAGATCTGTTTTTTAAAATTTTTGACTAGATCGACTACATTTATTTAATATTTGTGATAATGAATATGCACAGATCAAAGGTTCAAACAGATTTTATTTGTCTATTTTTTTTTATCACGACAATATTATGAGATGTGTTCGAATTTCGTGAGTTTTAAACTCATGAAAGCCTTGGAAGTCAAAAATTTATTGAAATTTTGGTAATCGATCAAGCCTAGCGTTTCAAAAGAAATGTCCATCCATCATCCTTTACTTACTCACAAGTTGTAAACAACTGCAATGGTGTCTTATATTCAGAAGTTTGACATACTAGAAATGTCACGAGAGATGACAAATATATGACACAATCTTTTCCGTGGATATTCAAATATGTGTGCAGTTGTGAGTGTAGAGAGAATCGAAATCCGCACTCTTACGAGAGTTTCTTGAGTTCCGAGAAGTCCTGGAGTTTAGAAGTCATGAAATTCGGTTACTGCTGGGTAAAATCACACTCATAGAAGATTGGATAGTTCGATCTGTAATGCTTCCAAGCAATACAACGCTACATTTGATCAATGATGTAAAACGTAAATGAAGATGGAATGAAGCCATTTACGACCTATCGTCAGAAATGCTAATAGAATGTCATATTTCGACAGCTAGATAATGTGTTGTTGGAGAGAAAATTCTTTTCTTCTCATTTAAGAAAAGTTGTCGCTTTGCGAAATAGATTCTTTTCAATATTTTTCTATTAAATGACTTCCCTAATTATTTTTGACTTCCAATATAAAATGTTTCCATTTCTTTCAAATCTCAATTAGTAGAGAGAGAAATTAATCAAGAAGAAAACAGTCCGCCACATTTGATTCATTTATTCTTCGAGTATTCGAGTAGGATTTTGATGGTACTCGTACTCGAGAACATTTGTTAGGGAACTGCAGGTCCACATAG